GAACGGGGCTTTTCTCGCCCTGGAGGACGCAGGTGGCGGGACCGCGGCACGTCTGGGCGGTCCCGCTGCCCGCGTCCTCCAGGGCGAGAAAAGCCCCGTTCGTAAGTATGGATCCGACATAAGTCGGATCTGCGTAACTCGGGGACTGCCTGTAACATGGTTACCCCTCTGAGACTTTTAGGATCATAACTGTATCTCATTCTGATGTTCTGAAAACTCTTTATGATGGCTGTATATAAATAACTTTAACCAGATAAAACACTGTCGAAGCAAACGAACTTCATCAACACTATCATTATAACTTTTTTCAATAATAACAATAGTAATTTTTAAATTTGTATTACATATGCACCCAGCGGGCCTACTTTGGTTGGACATTATTATACAGGTACCAGGTGCTGTAAAGATATATATTAAAATAATAAACCCTTGGTGAGCCTAGCTGAATCCGAGAGTGTCTGAGCAGGCAGATCATACTGAATCTGTAATGGATTTCCTCCCATTTTTTAATTGTATGCTCCATACTTGTGGGTCTCATGCATAATAATATCTAAAAATTAATGGAAAAATGCAGCTGCTTAAAATTAATTACTGAAAAGGGACCAAATTCATCCTTGGTGTCCAGTAACTCCACAGAATTCAGTGGAGTTATATGAGGGATGAATTTGATCCTTCCTGACATTACTTATCAAGGATACAGCTTACTCAGACATTTTATGAAGAAAATCTTGCCGTAGGCTATTTATACTGGCTATATTTAAGTTTCAGAAGGGGAAAAAATCAGAGCAGCTGGAGGAGCAAATCACAAAAATACTTTGTGTAATGTTCTGCCTTTTTTTCTCTCTTAATAATAGGGCAGCACACTGAGAAAGCGAAAGATGTATGAAGAGTTCCTGAGCAAGGTCTCCATTTTAGGTCAGTTGCCCTTTGGACTTCAGTGATCATTTCTCTGTTATGCATGTTGTCGGAATACATTTTGGCCTTTGATGAGATGATGAAAGTGGCAAGTGGTTGATCGGAAGCCCCCACAGTAGCATCACCAGCCAAAGAAAAGCATATAAAAACACGTATGGCTCCTCTCACTAGGACTCATTTTTCTCACTCTTACTATGTAGCAAAAATAAGTTATCTGGGTAAAGTCTTTTCTTGCAGATTTGAGTAAGCACTTTTCTGAAAGATGAAGTTTCAGTGGTTTTTTAGTAGTATGAATGTGTTATAAAGAGCTGTTAAATCCTTCCATTTAATGGGTGAGCATTTACATGGGCTAAACAAACTGACACCACAGATCTAAGTGGGCTTAGATTGTTTTTGTCCTGTGTCTTTTATAACCCCAGTCTCACATTCTTAAAACATCTGTTTAGCTTCTTGTCCTTGGATTTTGTTTCCCTTTGATTAATGTGATAGCCACAAAATGTGGATGTGTTCTTGATGGTCGTCAGTAGGAAAAACAACAAACTCCTAATGCCTGACCAATCAATCACTATTAGGAGAACAATTTTAAATAAGGAGGACAGTATTAGATGATACAGTGAAATGCTGATTCTATGGGAAATGCATCAAATTCCCTCTTGAAGTCTATTTTTGGCTATTTTTTTAATAGATGAATATACTATATAATTGAATAAAAAAATTCATAGTTGCTATTTAAACTATTTAAGTTTACTTATTTATGACATTCCACTACCAGTTTAGCTGATATGAGGCTGAGAAAAATGCACTTAGTAAAAATGTACTTGAACTTCTCAGAAGAGCCGGTGTGAGAAATTTGCAATTACACATGTATTCTTAGATTAATGTCAGGTAAATCATTCATTTATGTTCTCATCTTTTCCAGCAGGATGCAACAGAATCTCCTCCATTACATTTAAGTCTTCATAAATTAGGAATGCAAATTATGCCAAATTATATGAAGTGTTTAAAGAAAAAAAATCTTTGCACCTGCACTAATGAAGTACAATTACAGCAATGAGACATTTAAAAGTAATTCCAGAGATTGAAGTTATTCAGAAATGAACTCCCTTAAGCATGCAAGTTGATACTGTAATCTTATACTCTGTCCTCACTATGGCAAAACTCCCATACTCTTCAGCTCAACCACTTTAAAATGTACCATTATTTGCTGTACAAGTTTTTCCTTAGTAAGGACTGAATGAATACTTCAAACTTGGACTTTGTTTTCGATGCAAAAAATTATTAGACAACATATGTAGTGTTGTGGATGCACTGAGAATTTAGCTGACATATCTAAAAATATTTTGTATTTAAATAGTAGATGACAGCTGGCAAACTGAATAGTCATTTTAGAAATCTCAGCAATACAGTGCTGATAAATCAACCCAATTTTCCACCTTAACTTAATCTGAAAACAGTAATTTCTTGATATAAACACTAGATGTTTTGAATATAACTTTTCCAGGTTTGAATACTTTCTCTAACTAGTAAACTATGATATTTTAGCAGTAATGTTTTAAAAACTGCATTCTGACATGTTTAGATTATGATGCACAGGTTCAATGTATTTTTCAAGACATGAAAAATTAATATTTTTAAAACTTTCCTCTGAGGCTGTTTAAATGTGAAATCAAGATTTGATATGCAAAATGTGGAGATTGCAGATCTGTGTATAATCTACTTTATCTGGATGTATGAGTCTATCTCTGGATCTAAAAGAACTTTAAATGGTTACTTCATGTAAATTCCTTTATGAAGTTTTTATTTGCAAATACCATTAACTAATCTATTTGAAATGGTACAGTCCCTTTAGACAAGAGAGAGACTTCGTGACTAGAGCTACAATTAGCTTTGAATTTTTCATAAAGCCAACTGAAGAAAAAAGTTTAAAGGGACCCTTTCTTTTCATTGTTAATTTCTGACTCCTTTTTTAAATCAGAAAGCCAGCTCTTCCAGTCTTTACCAAAGGATTTTATGCTTATTTTTAATTAAGGAACACTTTTTGAATATTGTATTTACAAACTAAAAGTTTGCAAACTAAGTCATAAATTACATAGGAAGGTAAGTTAGTATGTAAACATGGAACAAAATGAAACCATTATTTTTAAGTACATATAAGAAAAAAATTATCCAGAAAATGCACAGTTACATGTACTAAGTACCTCTGAATGTATGGCCACATAGGTTTGTTAGACTCAATGCATACTTCTAATTTCTGCCACAGCTTTATTTTAAAATGCCTAATTTCAGCAAGAAAACTATTCTTTTCATGATGGTTCTAAACAGCTTTTTGAATAATGAGATGAGGAAGCAGGGTAGAATTTAATAAAGAATAGGCAAAATTAAGACCTGTGACTCTTGATTTCAAGCAGCTGTGATGCCTGACTTCAAGTAATTCAGTAATTCATAATAAAATTTCTGTTTACCCATCATTAGTATAGATTAATGGAGTCCTGTTGCATGCATTTAAATGTTTACTAGCAAATTCTGCTTTGAAGATGTGAAACATTTTTAGGCCATTCCTGCATTCCTTGTGCCAAGATTGTCACTGAAATTAGGTTTCAACCTTAAACATAACCATGCTAAATGAACCTGGTTCTGAGACCATTCCTAGCAATGGAGGTTCCATTGTCTTTGTGGGACACCGCTCAGATGCTCAGAGACAGTTGCTCATCTCTCTCATTGTCTCCTTTGTAGCCCAAAGGATACACCTATGCTGGAAGTGAGAGCAAGTCTGAGTTCAGGTCTGCACACTCAGGCTCACGGGGCTTGTACCACAGTGCTTAAAACAGCCGTGCGGACATCTGGGCACAGGCTGGATTTTGGGCTCTGAAGCCTGGGAAAGAGAGGAAGGGGCTTCTGAGCCCAAGTTCCTGTCTAAGCCAGCAAGCTGTTTTTAGCACCTTCCCACGAGCCCGCACGCCTGAGGCTGTAGAGCCAGGCTCTGAGGCTCACGACTGTGGGGCTGCCATTTGCAGAAACAGGCTGTATATAGCCAACTGAGAATCCCCTCAGGAGGGAAGATGTCTCAGCCTGCATAGTCAATAGGGATGTAATAGTGTAGTCGATTAACCGATAAGCAAAAGCATATAGATTAATGCTATAGACTACACACATTTCCTTCTTCCCCCTCCCTGCCAGTATATTTCTCAGTCCTGGCTCACGACAAGTCCAGGATCTACCCCTGCTGGAGCTCTGCATTTCAAGTGCATTAAGAGCTTGGCAGTCAGGCAGCCCAGCTTAGTTCATGGTTATGCTGGGTGTGGGAGCTCAGACTCCCCCCAGACAGGGACTGCTGCCTCTTTCTCAGAAGCAGCAGTACAGGCCGACAGGCAGCCAGTCTGCTACAGGAGCTGTTTTTAAAACTGGCTCCCTTTGCGTACCAGCTCCCGCCTGGCACCCTGTGCTGCTGTCTTTGATACGGTGGCGGCTGGCCCCGCCCCTGGGGCTTATAGAATAGTCAGCTAACTGATAACATTTCACGAGGTTACTCGACTATTCAATTAACCGATATTTAACATCCCTAGTCGTCAGTAGAGCTTGCTTCTGCATTCTATCTATCTATCTATCTATCTATCTATCTATCTATCTATCTATCTATCTATCTATCTATCTATCTATCTATCTATCTATCTATGGTGGTATATCTATTTTGTAGAACTGGAAGGGACCTTGAGAGGTCATTGAGTCCAGTCCCCTGCCCTCACGGCAGGACCAAGTACCATCTCTGACAGATTTGCATTAACTTCCAGATTAACTTCCATTCTGGTGCTGTGAGGATCATCAGAGGTAGTGAGAAAGTAGAATTATGCTCTGCCCTTTCTCAGATGGGCTCATACACAGCTTGGGTATGTCTAAACTACATGGCTCCGTCGACGGAGCCATGTAGATTTGTTTGTTCGGCAAAGGGAAATGAAGCCGCAATTTAAATAATCGTGGCTTCATTTAAATTTAAATGGCTGCCCCGCTCTGCCGATCAGCTGTTTGTCGGCAGATCGGGGCAGTCTGGACGCTCCCCTGCTGACATGAAAGCCCTTTATCGATCTCCCCGATACACCTCATCCTACAAGGCATAACGGGGAGGTCGATAAAGGGCTTTCAGGTTGGCTCGGGAGCATCCAGACTAGCGCGCTGAGCCGACAAACAGCTGATAAGCTTTTTGTCGGCTCAGTGCGGCAGCCGTTTAAATTTAAATGAAGCCGCGATTATTTAAATTGCGGCTTCATTTCCCTTTGCCGATCAGCCTAATCTACATGGCTTCATCGATGGAGCCATGTAGTTTAGACACACCCCTTGTGTCCTAGGATCACTCCTACTCTGCTCAAATACATTTCAGGTCGGGGGGAGTGCAGACCAGGCCATGGAACTGAGGGCTCGTCTAAACTGCATCCCTCTTTCGAAAGAGGGATGTAAATGAGGCCGATCGAAAGTGCAAATGAAGCATAGTTTTAAATATCCTGTGCTTCATTTGTATATTCGCATTCGATTGCTGTTTCAAAAAGAGTATTTCGAAAGTGAAACCGCAGTCTAGATGCGGTTCTTTGGAAAAAAAATCCTTTTTCAAAAGTTCCCATACTTCTGAGTATGGTTCTTTTAAAAAAAATGATTTTTTTCAAAAGAACTGTGTCTAGACTGCGGTTTCACTTTCAAAATACTCTTTTTCGAAACAGCAATCGGATGCGAATATGCAAATGAAGTGCAGATATTTAAATCCACGCTTCATTTGCACATTCAGCCTCATTTACATCCCTCTTTTGAAAGAGTGATAAAGTCTACATGAGCCCATCCTGTCGCTACCTAACTTTTAAAATTATTCACTTCATCTTGGATGTCATAAATTATACTGATAGTAAATATTTGCATGGATCCTGAAAAGCGATTCAGGGAGAAGGCACCAATGAAATAAAAGTGAACTGACCACAATTTCATTATCTTCTAACCAGAAGGATCAGGTTAGCTGTGAATCTATTATCAAAATTAGATACTTTTACAGTAAAGCTGTATCATCTTTAACATTTTAGAATCATTGGACAAGTGGGAACGCCTTACAGTAGCAGATGCGCTAGAACCTGTTCAGTTTGAAGATGGAGAAAAAATTGTTGTTCAGGGAGAGCCCGGGGATGACTTTTTCATCATCACAGAAGTAAGTGTGTCTGTCTGACAGAATTTCCCCTTGTGTGATTAAGTTCAAGCTATTGTTATGAAAATTGTTGGCTACATTCAATCTCAGTTCATCCATTATAAATCTGGACTAATTCCACTGAAGTTAGTAGAATTATTCCAGAATCAACTGAGCTCAGAATCTGTAGCATTGGCTTCTAGATGCAAGTGTGGCTGAGGCAGAGCTGCTATGTAATCATCTAAGAATACTGATATATAATGTTATGAATACTGTATGTGGCACAGTCAGTAGAGATTCTATATAGCTATGCTGGATTATTACATTTCCTGTATTTCCTATTTTACAATGGGAAGTGTGGCAAAATATGCAAGAAGGCAACACAATGGATTTAGATAATTGTGATGGGGTGTTAATCTTTTACAGGCTAATGTGTGATGAAGAGGCTAATTCTCCTGATAGGCCACACCTGAGGGAAGGATTAAGTTGACATTCTGGTTTTGGGGATGGATTCCAGATAAAGTTGCATCTATGCCTCAAGGAGAGAAACTCTCCTGTCAACTTCCCTTACTCTTCTTGTCTGGGGTAGAGTAAAGTGAATGACTGCAGAGCGATCACATTCATTTTGGCAGGTCTTAACTAGACCCACTAAATTGACTGCCAGTGGATTGATCTCAGAGTGTTGATCCGGGCAATAGTGTAGACATAAACTGAGCAGGAGCAGGCAGGACTGAGTCACCAAGAGGAAGCCCAGCAATTGCTGGTGTGTGAGAAACATGAACAGGAGACAGATGGGGGCAAGATCGGGTGAATTGTTTTTAACATCTGTTTTCTTTGAAAAGTTTTGGTTTCAAATAAATGGTACTTTTGCTTTAAGAGGGTGCTTTGGAGGGCATGTCTACAAGTGGGGAGTTATTTCGAAATCACGCCTCTTATTTTGAAATAACAAGGGGTGAAATAACTACACTGCACTGTTATTTCAAGATAACTAGCATTATTTACAAAATAACAATGCAAACATCTACACAGCCATTCCTTTATTTGGAAATAATTTCAAAATAATGGACGGCTTATTCCAAAATCTGTAAACTTCATTCTACGAGGAATCACACCTATCCTGAAATAAATAAGATGTGTGTCGATGCTCCACTGCTGCTATTTCAAAATAGCCCCTCACCAGGGCCATGCTAAGTTATTCCTCCCAAGGCCTCCTGGGCTCTAAATTGAGATAGCCCATCTACATTAGGGAAGCCTGCCTCAGACTAATTTTGAGGCTTCCCTGCAGTGTAGATGTGCTATTTCAAAATAAGGTATTTTGTAATAACTATTCCAGAATAGCTTATTTTGAAATAAGCGTGCAGTGTAGACATACCCAAGGTAAACATCTACGCTGCCAAGTCTGTTATTTCAAAATAAGGGGCTTGTTATTTTGAAATAATATCTTCTACTTGTGAAGAGGAATAATTTTATTTTGAAATAATAGCTTATTTCAAAATAACCTGGTAGTGTAGACATAGCCAGAAGGAACAGAATTGCAGGTACTGAACCAAACTTGGGCTTGCTGAGGTAATCACAGTTAACACCTGAGCACTGCCTCTGAAAGTCTGGTCTGAGATGGGATTCCCTCCTCTGTTCCTCCCCACCCAAGAGAGGTGGGAGGTTTGAGGCCTAAGACTGCAGGGGGGGGGGGCACTCAAAGAAACCAAGAGGGGTCAGAGGTACAGTTAGCCCAGCAACTGTGACAGGTGGTACTGGTAAACTGAATCTGGAGGGCTGAGTTGCTTTCTCACTTGCTCTCACACAGGCAGTCTGACCAGTCAGGCAGCTGAGAGTATTGACATCCTTTGGGAGTTCATCTGACACTTCTCTTTCAGCTCCACCATCTTCCTTCTGCCTCGCAAACAAGCAAATGTTGATGGGCATTTTTCTCCCACTTTCGACAAAATATTTCAATACTCTCTTTCTCTCTCAGCTTGGAGCAAGACAATAATGTAAAAGTGTCTCAGAAATGCAAAAACAGCTTTAGTGTGTAGCCATATTCGCACTGTTTTAGGAGCCCTCACTCCATATATCTGCATTCAAGAGTTTTGGCTGCATCGTTTTTATTGCTATCTCAGGGAGTGTACTTATAAAACGTATATACCGTACTCATTAAAGCCCACTCCAGAATCATTAGGTACTTGCAAAGCAACCCAAGCTCCCTTGGCTCCTTCCTATCTAGGATTTTGGACAGGTGCCTCTGCACAAATGAATATTAAGTGTATAAAATGTCCTCCCCCCTCTTCCTGTTTATGTTGATATAAAACACTGAAGAAACTTTGGACCTGGCTTCCCCACTTTTGATGCGCTCAAAATTTTGATAAACTTAAAAAACAACAAATAGTCTGGTAGCACTTTAAAGACTAACAAAACATGTAGATGGTATCATGAGCTTTCATGGGCACAGCCCACTTCTACATGTTTTGTTAGTCTTTTAAGTGCTACCAGACTATTTGTTGTTTTTAAAGTTTATCCTGTACAGACTAACTTGGCTACTCCCTGAAGCTTTCAAAATTTTGAGTTCAAGTCATTGTTCCTGCTTATTAGGTAGTTAAATGTTTAAATGGCTGGTGCAAATTAGAGGGCAGATTTTATAAATTCAGCCCATAATATGTATTTTTAGTTAGTGAAACAGCTTGTACGTAAGCAACGCTTAGAAAATATAGCTTCTTTGTCAAACAGTATACATTTCTACAAGTTTTCTAAAAATTTTTGACTCCACAGAGAAGCATAAGGCTACAGTATTAAGTTTTTTTAGCTATCAAATCCAGTGTGGAAAATTGGCAGCTTGCTTAAGCATTACCAAAGGCCTTTATTTTTCTCCTCTTAACTGAACAGCTGCAAAGACTTGAATGGGTAGCAAAGCACTAGCACTGCATACTCATGTACTATCTGTTCTACCCCTCCAGCCATTCATCCATTCACTCCTAGAGTTTCAGCTACATGTTTCTCACTCTGGAAACTGACTGTGTTTTTCTGCATTAAGGAATGAAACCCCTTACCAGTTATTTTATATGCAAGTTACACTTGTGCCTGGTTGTGCTGCTGGGGTTCTGGGTTTGTAGTTTGAGCCTCGTTTCATAGGAGCTTATGGCTCAGATGTAAAACATTTTTTCTAGAGATGTGAGCAGAGCCATCAAGAACAAATTACTTTGCAAACTTTGGGTGAAAGTGGTTTAGCTGGTTTGCAGTCACATAGCTCCAAAAATATTAGGTCCTTTCATAATTTTCTTATTTATGGTCTTACATCCCTAAATTCTCTACAAGCCTTAGGGTGTGTCTAGACTACAGGTTTGTTTTTTTTAAAAAGTGGCCTTTTTTTGAAAAAAACTTCCCCTGCATCTAGACTGCTGCTGTGTTCTTTCGAAAGTAAATTGAAAGTAAATCGAAAGAACGCAGCAGTTTTTTGACCGCGGAAAACCTCATTTTACGAGGAAGAATGCCTTTTTTCGAAGTGCTCTTTTGAAAAAAGGCACTATGTAATGCAAACTGTGCTTTTTTGAAAGAGAGCATCCAGACTGCCTGGGTGCTCTCTTTCAAAAAAAGTGGCTTGCTTTTTCGAAAGTATCTTTCGAAAAAGCCTCTTTTGAAAGAGGCTTGCAGTCTAGACGTAGCCTTACTGAGTTATTTGCCTGCTATAAATATAGGAATAGTTTCACATGGAACAGAAACACAGTCACTTTGGGGATATGACATGGCAGTTGTTTAATAGTGATCAACAACACTGTGTGGCAGAAATTTTAGACTGGGTTTTTATATTATACCAGCGCCAAGTGAAAACGAGTCAACCATGTGATTCAACTATAGAAAAAGTTGATATCAGTCAGGGGAACATTAATTGGAATATCGTATGTAAGATATTGGAGGTGATTGTCCTACTCTACTCATATGGAGTAGTTTGACCAATTCTGGGCACCATATTTAGGAAAGATGTGGACAAGCTGGAGGGCCAAGGGAGACAAATGAAAGGGATAAAATATCTAGAAAACTTGACCTAAGAGGAAAGGTAAAAACAACTGGGTATGTTTAGTTTTGAGAAAAGAAGGCTGGTGGGGGAGACTTGGTAGTCTTCAAATATATTAAGAGCTATTATATTGAGTTTTGTAGCTTCCAACAGGCAAAGGTTCCCTATGAATATCAGGCCTACATAGTTTTAGTTATAAATTGTACAATCCATGTGATATAAGTCACCTGAGTTTTGTTAACCTTCATAGTTGCTTTCCTCGATAACATTACTTTGAGGTGCTAATGTTCCGACCATGGTGGCTCTTCACAAGACCACTCCTGAAACATGGGATACCACATGCCCTGACTTGTCCAAATAAATGTATGCATTCATCAGCACTCAAATCCTAACTTGAATTTGTGATTTGGCAAATTAATATGTTATGCCTCTTGCACTTGACATCAAACTGTTTTCCGGCGCTGTTGTTTTGGCAAGCATCTGTGTTGATTTTTGTGGTTAGTCGTAATTATATGTTTCTTTAGATGTGAGTTTTGCCGCCATGTTTTGATACCAGGAAATAGTAATGTTGTTCTGTAAACTATTGTATAATGTCTGCCACTGGATACAAAAACAACTATTCAATATGAAAGGGAAAATATTGTTAAATTAGTTGGATTTTCATTTGTTGAAATAACCATTTTGCAGCAGCTGGTATCTATAACAAATAAATGAATAAGACTAACAGATCATTTTGTGACAATATAAATAGTATTTGTTACAAAACAATTCAAATGTCTTGTGGTTCAGTGCAGCTGTAGCTTTATATTTCAGGTACTGTGAATATACAAATACCCATACACAGTTATTGAAAATACAGGCTTTAGCCTTTTTTATTTGCCTGATATCTAGGGTAACTTTCCTCTAAGGGTTTCCACATAACTTTAAAAGAGTCATTAAACCTCACAACAACACGACAAATGTGATAACCGTTATTCCCATGTGAATGATGAGGAACGTGAGTCACAGAGACGTTAAGGAC